GTACTTTGCTTGCAGGTAAAAAAGATTAAATAAAATGTCAAAATTCAAATTCTGATGTGCTTTTAAAAGTTAATTATTCAGCGATTCCTCCGTGTACCACTAGAAGGAAGCCTGCGTACCACTAGTGGTACACGTACCACAGTTTGAGAACCATACAATAAACAAATCTGCAGCAACTGTCTGATGCTATTATATCAATATGGACTATGTACTAGTAAGGTGTACCTAATAAAATGGCCGGTGAGTGTATATAATAATCTATCTTAGCTACTGTAGTTTTTCAACAATAAAGTAACTGAATGAATATGATAGTCGGTAACACAACAATTATATCAATAAAAAAGACCCAATAATATAGTTTTCTACAACTATAGGGTATATTATACAACCTTAAAGAGCCCATATTATACATGAAAAAGGGTCATATTTCTGTTATATGGATCTACAACAACATACTGATATGCATGCAAGGTCAAAAAACACTTTCATGGTCTTATAATATGCATTTATTTTTACCCAATTATCCCAGCGACTCCCATATGAATCGTTCAGCGATTCATTTGTTCCCAAACCCCTCCTTAGCGCGAAGCTAATCTGCGCTGATTTGACCGACGACAGCCTGTTGCGATTGGTCGACAGCGTTCAGCGGTAGACAAATGCCCTGTGCTAGACAAATGCCGAGCGCATGACAAATGCCCAGCGCAGTTAGTCAAGCCCCCGGCGGACGGGCCGCGCGATAACCACCTGACCGTCATAACTCCCGCACGGGAAGTATGAACGGCACTTAGCAGTGAAAATAAAACCGATAGCATGCACATCATTGACTGAGCGTGATTTCCGTGACAGAGCTTTTCTCCCTTCTCAGCTGTAACTTAGATAATTTCTATTTGCAATTATTGCTGTGCCACCTCTTGCGTGAAGTGTTATATGTTCTCAGGGCTTACCTGTACTCTGCTTTGCCCAAAGATCCCATCCCCAGCCAGGGTGTTGTAGCGCTCACCAGCGTGTAGCAGGCTGCCTTTGTGCCTAATAAACTGGCCTTATTCTGCCTATTCTCACAAGTCTCATACACCAGTCTTTTCTGATCCTTTCTTTAACAAACGAATGAATCGCCCACTGTAAGCGTGTAGACTGCTGAATCAATTATTTCCCCTCACACTTCCAATAACATCCAGGTAAGCACAGCGTCTTCTTGACGTAGGACTTCAGGATCTGTTTGTCTTCGTGGCTGTGTTAGTGGGCGGGGCGCAAGTTTAAATTTTCCCGCGTTTGCGCCGTTTCGAAGTCACGTCACGCCGAAACGGCTAAAGACTCGTTATGAAGACGATTTCATTCTAACCACTATGAGTCGACTCTTTTTTTTTTTTAGATGAATCAATAGTTTTAAAAACTGTCCATATTCAGATTTAAGCCTAAGCTGAATATTTCACTTCACTTAAATCTCTTACACACTACATGGAAGCTCATTCTCGAAAACCCACAATAGGGGCTCTTTAAACCACAGTTTACAGTAGTAAAAATTAAGGTATACCATTACAGTTTATCAGTTACATAGCTATAGTTAACACTACAGTTTCACTGAAAAATGATGCATTGGATTTACTAAATGTTTTAAATGTGAGTGGTTGCAAACTATTTATATGGGCTGAATTTAAACAAACAAATTAAGTTGAACATTACAACATTTAATTTGTTTGTTTAAATCCAGCCCATATAAATTGTTTACAACCAACTTACCTCAAACAAAACCAGAATTTTTTAGTGTAGCAAACACTGCTAATTGCATTTAATGCAATTGTCTGTTCAATAGGTTAAAAACACATCATCCCTAAATCCTGCATGCTTATCCATCATGCAACCCCGTCCAAAAATACATCTCACTCTCATATTGTTTACCAAGTGATTTCACAGAGGACACGCAATTGTGTAACAGTGTGCTGCTTCAAAACAACATTTATCAGAGTGATAATTGAACATGCTCATCTGTTCAGTCTATTTTAATGCAAGCATGGAGGTCAGAGGTCACTGGAGCAAAAAAAAAAAAGCCCTCCGCGTCATCTATTTCTGCTTTTAATTGCATGAAAGTACAAACAACGTAATGTATAATTACTACTATGCCGCATTACAGTACAAGCCATATAATTACTAATTTGTTGTGACATTTCTAAAGTAATTGTAACTCCACAGTTCTTATTTTACCTAATTTAATTAGAATACAAAAGAAACGCACTTGGGTGAGGTGTAATACCAGCTATAATTTAATAAAGGATATTAGGACCATATTTTAAATTAGGTTGTAAAAAAAATAAAAATAAAAAAATAATAATAATAATAAGTAGGGCTGAACGATATATAATTTGAGCATCAATATCACAATGTGTGCATCGACAATTACATTGCAAGATTTGAATGCTTATTAAATATTGAAGAATAAAGATATTATTAAATATTATTGTATGACCATGTTATATGTTTTACTCAGCAGAAAAGCATAAAACACTATTTATTTAAAATTAATGTTATATATAGTCATTATATATACACAAGCAATATCACACAAGTAGCAATGCGATATGGCTGTATATCGGCACTGGTGGGAGGCGTGAGTTGGTGCCCATTGACACTCAACCACCATACACACAAAGAGAAGAAAATAAAGATAACCCAACACACACTTTAAATTAAATTAACTGGTATATTTTTAACAAGCAGTACAACAAAAAGGTTTTCTAAATCAAAATATATACTTTTAATCACTGTTCAGTCATAGATCATAGTCAAAATTAGCACTTCTTAGGAACAAAAGGAAACATCAAACAAACAATTCAAACACTTCAATAATAATGTTTAGATAACCCAAAAGAAAACAAACAAACAAACAAACAAACAAACAAACAATAATAATGTGTGGCTGATCGACTGGAAACAAGAGAGGGAAAAAATGTAAAGAAAGCCTATGTGATAACGTTGTAATGTGTGTGTGGAATGTGTGGGTGTATGAATGGGTGCAAATGGACAAAAGTTACTGACCCAGGGACACCGAAGCCGTTCTGCACAGGTCCACTTTTTCCATCGAGATTTTCAGACCCCTCGCACACAATACTTAGAGAGATCGCCTGGTCACCACGTCCACAAATTGCTTCCACCCCTCAGTTTTTTCCTCACACAGTCATTGAAACCAACAAGCTCTCCACCTTACACCGTTCTTCTCCTCCTTCTCCAATTCTTGCCACCAAATACCCGACACCAAAACAACCAGAAGCCCCTTCTCTGGCCTTTTCTTCCTCTTTTATAATCTCCGATTGTTTACCTGCCCTTCCGCTTCCTCCCGACCCCCGGAAGTATTGTCTGGAAGCGATAGGAAGGACCGGTCGGA